GAAAGGAAAAGGTCAGAAACAATATCTGCACTATATACATGGGACTCTGATGATTTACCACGGCTTCATATTCCAAGCAAGAATAATTAGTATCATAATATACAAATCTTATCAGATAATTCTGTTCACAGGTGAATTTGAAAATATAAAAACCTGTTTAATGAAAGTATGCACGCTCTGAGACGGTACCGCAGCGAGATTTTCAAATCGCAGACAGTACACTCTCAAAGGTTTAAACCTTAAATTTGGATCACTCATTTATAACGATGGTTGAGATTTTGTTTTGAATTAAAAAAAAAAAAGATTCAGAAGAATTTACTTAAATAAAGCGAGAATGTACCATCTCTGCTCTGCTGGAAAGAGATTTTTGATACCTAGAAATTCCGGAAAGCTGTCGGTAAACGTATGGTTGTACTACACACGGCAAACAACGTCGTCTCCTGTTATTTTCTCCACATGAATTGTTCATAAGGAGTACCAAACTTTATTAAAGAGAATAATTTTGTTACAAGATTATAAAAACAATCTGTCCCTTTAAGTCGTACGTGTAGCGGACATCGCTGTACCAACCTGTAATGAGACGTAATAGTTTATGACGTCATTTATTATAAAAACTCAGTCTGGAGAATGCCATTAAATAGATGAAAGGACTAAGCACGTGCTGCAGGTCGGTACAGCGATGTCCGCTGTACGTACGACTTAAAGGGACACTTAAGTGAAGTAAGTTTGTATTTATGATCTTGTCACAAATGGCTAGTTTTGTGTCCTGAAGTGGAGGACAAGTAATATTTCGGATAGATACACATTATGATTTTTTAAATTCCCGACCTGCATGAGACTCCCTTCATTATGAACAAATTGGAATATGATTCAGTAACAGTTGAGATAGTTGGCAATATTCAAGGTCACAGGGGTTAACTATCTTGAAAAAAAACCTTTTAACAACATCGTTTGAATTACGAAAAGGACCAGGATGATGATATTTGATGGCTACTAAACAGCCGGAACCTTCAGCTATATTAAGGTCACCGAGGTAAATAGTCTTAAAACCCTTTGAACATCTTCTTTTGCATATCAAAAAGATCAGAGTTTAATGGTATTTGATCAGTAACATGATGGGACTACCAAGTTAATTAAAATAAATGAATTTCATCCCTATTCATTGTCCCAGTGGTAAAATATTTTAAACAAAACTTTTAACGTCTCTATCTTCTGAATAACCCAATTGCATAGGGTGGTGATATTTGGCCAGCTACATGCTCGAATGAAGAATTATCAAATTTGTTTATATGAAATACCTTGACAAAATTTAAAAGATCACACATTGTCAAATATGTATAAACTTTTTAAATACCTTATCCCAATAAATAAAGTGTCGAAGATGTTGATACTTAAGAAGTTGATGAGGGGGGTAAAGGGCTTTAAAGTTTAGCAGACTTAATGTTTTTGTATCTTACAAGGTCACAGGGGTCAAATTTTAAAATCAATTTACTCGAGTTAGATAAACATGATAACTAATATTAAGACCGGTTTGTCTTAGTACAACATCCAATGATGTAACTTTAACGGTAGCGCTCCATAAAGGATATGTTAGTTACCAACTGCGTTCATATAATCGTATCAGCTGTAAAAATGTAGGCCAATTCTTGTCGAACTTTTTCAGTGTGAGACAATTGAATAGAGTTCTTCGTAAGCAAGGTCTTCGTCGACGAAATGCCGGCGTTTCGGAGGAAGTTATCACAGCAGCGGTAGAGGTAAGTTGCAATTTTGTTTAAAATCTCACATACCTGAAGACGAGTAGGAGTACCATAGTTATTTTTGTGTAACCTTATTTATTGAAAGAAAAAAATAATGAAACAATATAAAGTTTAAATTAAAATGAATAGAAAATGCAAAGTTTGACTGTCCCCGTCAAAAAGCATGCTTATTTCAAATTTACCAATTGTATATCGACTACCTTCTCATATCACATAATGACAGCGTTATTTGTGCTTTTATTTTCAAGAAAATTACAACCTCATTATTTACAAATATCCAGGTTTAAACAACACAGACACTTTTTATGGTCGTAATCTTGATATCTTTGGAAGATAATATATTTACACGTTTAGTTGTTGATATGCAAGTAGGGGTTGGTGTTTCGTTGTCACCCTTAATTAGAATCACGCGATAACTTGTATTGACATGTACAACTCGTCTGAGGATGATGAATCAGAAGATATTTACCCACCCTTAAATAATATCTAAGTCACCATTTTACTTTTATTAGTGATCTACGTGTAAATCATTGATTTGGACGTATCTTCCCTAGCTGTCGTTTTTTATTAATTTTGATTTAAAATTCTTCTTTCTATATATATATTTTACAGCTCTCCGTGATGGGTTGTACAAAGATGCCGCGACAATGATGGCAGTATCTATTGTTCACGGAGGACCACCTCCTCGATTTATGTCGCGCCTGCTATATTCCTCACTGCATCAGAGTCGGCCGTCCGTGGGTATTAAGGATGTCAGCGACAAGGATGTCCGAAATCAAATACAGAAGGTTAGAAAAATAATTATTTTCTTAGTGCAAGATAGGCTACTGCATTGTATAACATAGGTTATCAAATATCTTTTGAAACATTGCATTGATTTCTACTTTCAGGTATTTAGAAGGTTGTTATAATTTAGTATGACTTCAACAGTAGTGACTTTGTGTCTTTGAATAGATTGCTTATTGAAAAAGCCACTCTATTATAATTGTACATAGTTTCAATAAGCTAAAAGGTTATATATCTAAAAAAAAAAGAACAAATGTCATTCATTTTTACATAAATATTACAGAACAAAAATATAATAAGACTTTTCAATGTCCAGAAGTGTAGGATAGGGAACTTCGAGGGATTTTAAAATTGGTTAAAACACGAGGCTTTGCCAAAGGTTTTGCCAAATTTGAAAATCCCTCGAGTGGAAGTTCCCTATCCAACACCGTTGGGCATGAAAGAGTATTTTTCTCTCATTTCAACTTCAACAATTACTAACAATAACAAGGGACCATTACAGAAGTCCCTTAAAATTGTCGCAAAGATGCATTAGAAAAGGTATGCAATGCCATAATACACTTACAATATATATATACTTAATTTGAGAGAAATCGTACAATTTCTGAATTGCGACCAATCAGAAGTGTGTGGTTGTTATGACAACGAAACAAATGCTGTTGAAATTGTAGTGCCCTAACTAATACCCCCCTATGCCAATGTTCATCAAAATATAACAATATCAAAAATTGACCTATCAGAAGCCTCCATGAGGTTGATATTACAACGGAACCTATACGGTTAAAATTACAGTCCCCTGATACCCCTATATACTTATTTTCATTAAAATAGAACAATATATAAAATTGACCAACAAGAAGCCTCCATGAGGTTGCTATGGCAACGAAACTATGCGGTTGAATTCGCAGTCCCCTAATACCCTTATATACTAATTTTCATAAAAATTTAACAATATGTAAATTTTGACCAATCATAAGCCTGCGTTTGGTCGCCATTTTGAACCCAAATCAATTAATATTTTGTCGAAAACGAGCGCTGTGTCGTTATAATCCCTTTCACTGTGATTCCTTATGTTCGATCAAATAGAACGAATGTTATTACTGGTGATATGATTTCGCGTTGAATTTTTTACCAATCAGAGCCCAGGGTATGGCAGTCATTTTTTTTTCACAAAACAAACACCGTAGTTTTGTTCGTAGCGCCATTCTACACCACCAAAGCAAATTTCATCGAAATTGGACGATATTAAAATTTCGACCAATGATAAACCTGCATTTGGCCGCCATTTTCAATCCAAAGAGATTTTTTAATTGAAAACGATTGGTGTGATTGTATCATCCCTTTCACCAGTTTCATTATGTTCAGTCAAATAAAACAAATGTTATTACTGGATATGATTTCGGCCAATCAAGCAGTGGCGGCCATCTTGGATGGTTGACACGGAAAAATAAGAGTCAGATACAAATTGTACTGATTATATATGAGAATCCCATTAGTAGCTCATGAGATTAAGCGGGCACTTTTTAGGGGGGAATAATAATATGAAGAAGAAGAAAAAGTAGGGAACGGAACAATAACAATAAGTCCCCCCGACTTCGTTTGGGTAAGTTTTTATCAATAATAACAATTAAGAAACGGAACAAAAACAACAAGAAACGGACCAAAATCAATATGTCCCTCAAACTTCATTTAGGCGACATAATAAGAAACGGACCAAAAACGATATATCCCTCAAACGAATAATAATAAGAAACGGACAATACACAATATTTCGTTTGAGGGACACATAATAATAAAAAGATGAAACGGACCAAAAACAATATGTACCTCAAACGAATACCTGTTTTTGGTCCGTTTCTTATTATGATTCCTTTGAGTGACATAATAATAAGAAACTGAGTAAAACCAATAAGTCCCCGACTTCGTTTGGGGGACTTAAAAGTAAGTTTTAATTTCATCAGGTACCTTTTTCACATTGCAACATCGGTGTTTTCAAAATTCGTGACGTCACGTCACGTGAAATGAGATGTAAGATAGAAATATCCTACACCCCTTTCATATCCTGCACAGCTCTATCTTACACACACCGAAATGAGAGAAAAATATATTTTATTTGTACTTCAGCTCATCAATGCCGAGTCAATCCATGACATCCATGCTCAACTCGACGTAATGCAAACTTTAATAACGGTTGCTGGTTGTATTAGACCGGTGTTTAATACAAATGATAAGGAACGTTTGGTCCAGGACCTGGTGGAGTTCTTTGTGCTAACAAGAGTCAGTGCCTGCACCGAGCAGTATGTAATGTATTATTAATCACCACTTCACATATAGCTTTGTAACAAATACATGGTCCTTGCAATAAGTTGTGATATATTGTTGTTTCCGTACGTAAATCATAATAAATATCAAAGTAAAATGTACGGGGATGTTATTACTGACATCGTCAAAAAATGACTTCATTATTATCTTTGAACATAAATACATGTACATAGAAGACATACACAAAATTACCATTAATTGTTTAAGCCACGAGCAAACGTTTATTTTGATGCATTGTACTATCACACAACTGTATTTTCAAAACATCACTATCAACCTGTCATTGACAAATCCTTGAAAACTATAACTCGTATCATGTCATTCGCTGTGAATTCTTTTATATTTCCTTCAATTACAATCAACAATTTCTATGAAAGTGACACATTCAAAAACAACAGGTATTGCATCGTTCACTTGCAGATTAAAGAGGGGTCTACAGGCACTTGGGGTTCTAGACGAGATAATGGCCCACCCCAAATGCATGGAGGAGTTATTCATATATGCTCCAGACCAGAACCTCACGGCAGATATGGTTGAGGCGGTGTTTTTTAAAGTGGCTTTTTCGGAAGCAGGTAGCAACCAGCACCAAAAACAAACAAGAGTTGTTTCATTTTGGAGAGACTTTCTGATGGATTTGGAAGGTAAGCATTTATGTTCGAATTATTATAATAATCAGCGATGTAACTTTACTTTTTACCCTAGAATAAGCTGGGGAATTTTCTTGTTGGAATTTTCCTCCCTGAATTTTGCACTGCTTTATTTATATATCGATATTAATCCGATGTTTTATACCCACCGCAACGAAACAAGAGGGGCGGGGGGTATACTGGAAGCTGTCTGTCTTTCATTCTGACCCTTTTTAACGGAGTTATGGGCCTTTGTTCAATAAATCTTTGTCTGTCTCATTACAATAAAGATATTGTAATTGCCCCATGATGCCGTACATCAGGCTAGTATTTCTTTTCATTTCGACCCTTGTTAAGGAGTTATGGCCCTTTGTTAAATATTTTTGTCCTGACTTTTCTTAAACTAATAAGACAAGTATAGAAAAACTGGTTCATCTGGGCTAACAAGATATGGTATGTCAGTATGTTTTGGCATGGGGAGGGAGTACAGGAAGTACATCAGTGACCAGTATACTTAAATTAGTGTACAGCTAAGTCAATAAAGAACTCGTTGCTTGTGGGGTAATATGGATTGCTTTGCAAACGCTTTACCTAAAGCCTTTAGCTTACAGTTATGGTTTATATAGGAACGGTGGTGGGATATTTGCTAGGCTTTGGCTTACAGTTCCTGTTCCACCTTTATTGAAAACTCATATTCAATTGACTATATTCCATTCTTTTGTATGCGATAGAAAGATAGAAAGTCGTCGTTATACAGTCTCATACAACCATAAATTTAAAAAAAACCCATATATTGTAAGAGGTTTTTCTTTTTACACGGAAAGTGTATTTTGCTTTAAGAAAAAAAGATACACAATCATGTGCACGAAAAAAAAGTTCAACCGTACAGAACACAATACAGAAATCATTTCAGGTATGAGGCGGTAAACTATGAAATGCTATTAAAATACAGGTAAAACTGATAAAAGTTTATTCAATTTTTATGTGTAGACTTAGGTGACACAATTAACAAATAACACAGTTTAACTCTCCTGTCACCACATCACAATCCGGCTTTACGAGACAACATTTCATACCTGTAATGACTTACAAAAAGGATTATATAACAATTGAAATTCATAATTAAAATCTAAAAACTCCTTAATATTCTGCATTTTTTTATCCTCACTAGCATGTCTATTTCGTGTATTTACAGATGGAGATGATGAACTCTCTTTGAAAGACTTGTTAGTGTTTGCGACCGGGGCAGACGTTGTTCCACCTCTCGGTTTCCAGCCAGAGCCATCACTCGAGTTTGCCGAGGGGCTCTATCCTTTGGCAAACACTTGTGCCATGGTGTTGCGTTTGCCGACAATAGATAATTACCAAAATTTCAAGGCCAATATGATCTTCGGAATAGCAAACGCCCCTGCATTCGGAACGGCTTGAGGTTTCATAGCAAGTGAGAAAACTTTGTGACGTTCACTTTCATAACAAAAATTGTACTTTAATTATTTAGGATTTCCTCCAATAAGAAATTAAGAAATATCTGTATTACATATTTTCAGTCTGATTGCACCGCAATCAGGGCTTATAGGTAGTCGAATTCCGTCCGACCGTCCGTTTTCTGTCAACCTGTCTGCCCTAAGGTTTTAAGTGAAAAAAATACTCATTTTCAGTATGTTTGCAAATGTACTATTGCTTTTTTAAGTTATGCAAATTAATTCTTTAAAACAAAATGTGTAATGAAATACCAATCCCGTATCATTTTCCATTCTTGTGCAAATTGCGATGCCATGACACTTTCTGTTATGATAGGCTATTAAGTATGTGAAAAAAAATGAATTTTGCAACTTTGCATACAGTGCAAGACCTTTTAGATATTCAAAAGGCTACCGAATTGATCACGTTTATGAAATTATTTAAACGTGCTGCAAATAATAGAAAAATCGATATTTTACTCATTTTGCAGGTACATGCTTGCTTTTGAAAGTGTTCGAAATCTTTGATTTAAGTGTTAGAAGTCTTTGTTCATTTTTGTTTACAGTTATTAACATCACAGAGGAGTACATCCTTAAAACATTTATGTACGCAATTTTTCTAAGATTGGCTTCCCATACAATATCCTACGACATCTCTAACATATCAAACATATCATGACTTAATAAATCCTCGTCTGTAATACCGTTAACTAAATGTATTTTACGATATTTCTAGTGTATAACTCTTATAGGAAGGAAAGTTGTGTCACAGTAAGGTAGCATGTGTCTTTACCTCCAATATTTCAAGTCCCGTATATACCCAGATATTAGAAATGTAAAATAAATGTTTTACTGTTTGTCATTAGGTACTTGATGAAGGCCATATTGGGAAATTCAACCAACCATATCTACTTTTACAAAATGAAGAAGGACACTTCTACTAGATGGTTCAACAGAGAGGCAAGACTGAGGCAGATCACCCTCTGGAAGTGGCACGGGACTGTTACAATGATGACATTTCTTCCGTCATTTCTGGTCTTTCCTATGTACATGAAAAGGGAAGAAAGTCAAAAGGGATAAACTCGGCAGCAATTTACAACTGGATGGTAGTGTGTTTGATACTAGTAACATCAGTTTTGCAGATGATTATGATGAGAAGAATAAAGAAGAAATTCAGCAGAGCCATATTTGACGCATCAGTTGAAGGAAATGCTGAATATAATCAAATGTTGAAGAAAGTGACATCTGAAGTCCAAGTGCTCTCGAGCGTGAAACCATGTTTGAGTCTCACGCTCTGTTGGTTGTGTCAGAATCTGACGAACATTCACAAGCTGTTCAACCAGCAGAGAAGAAAATCAAGGATGAGAACAACGGAACAAAGAGAAGGAATCCAGTAATATACTACCTAAAGGGGCCAATGGTAGCCTAGAGGACACTAGCATGAACACTCACCTTTAATGTTGAGAGTAGTCCAATGGTTACATTATCATTGTCTGGTTTAAGTAAATTGCTAACATATGTTTAGGAAATGTTTAGGAGGCACTCAGTCCATATTGATTCGTCCCTATTCATTCCATGTAAAATTGTGAAGAATCTGGATTGGCAATGTACAATTTCCACTAGTCTGACAACCAGACCTACCAGTATTTGCCATAATATATATATATATATATATATTATAGGGTGGGTTTGTATAATTTTCAAAATGTACCTGTAGGTTAAAACTCTTAATATAAAAAAAGGCATTCAAGGTGGGACATATCAATTGAAAAATGGTTCAGAAAGTACTGACTGAGTATGTACAATGAGACAATACAGACATGTGGTCACTGGATAAATAATACTTGTCTGTACAAACTTATACTTAACAAGCAAATCCTGCCGTTGTGATACAAACCTTTCAAATTTCAGTTTTTACCTTGTAATGTATGACCTGTAATAAGAATCGCTGACCAGTGTATAGAAAATAACAATTAATCCGAACAAAATCTAATTATGTGATTTACTTTCATTGAGAGTATATCTAGGAGTCACAAAAGTGGAACCTTGCAAATGTATTTTCTATTTTTCTATTCTTATTCAATTGTGTTTTGGAAGACCAGTTTAAACATTTTCATCCATATTCAGTGAACGATTTTACTTCCTTATGTCATGACTTGTGGAAAGTTGTTATGAAGAAAAAACTTTCCTGTAATTGAAATATGACAGGATGTCGGTTATCATTTGGTTTATAAAAATTCTTATGTCGCAGTAGACATTTCTATCCAATCATTATCAAATGTGGGTTATTCAAATGGTTCGTGGTCCGTCATCGGACAGTGCGTCCGTATTCCTTTCTTAAGCAATTGCTGTCAATATTACTGTGGAAATAGACGAACATATATTTCTCGGATCCCATCGAAAGGTTTCCTTTGATCTAATGTTGTCCCACTGTGCAGCCATATCATGATTTGAAGAGTTGAATAGTGGTGACGCTATTAATCAAGAGGTTGTCGACACATCAGCTGTTTTATATTTTTATCAGTTTCATACGAAGGTTTCTCTTCTTCCGTGGTTCTGCATATTTCATTTGAGGATGATGGGAGAACAGTCATCGGCCGATAGATAGCATAGTTGATAATATACAAATTTTATATTGATATCATTACTAAACGCGTTTCTCAACTTACAATGATCCATTTTCATTGTTTTTACATTAATTATTGTACTAACGCTGGAGTCTAACAACAAGCTCACTATGAAAGATAAAGCTGTATATATATACACACACAGAATTGAAAGCGGTGTGCAAATGACCTTTCGTTTTTCGATCATGGCTGCCTAGGCTCAGCTTGCTCGAAATTTAGGTATTGACCGATTTATCTCAAATTTTGTTTTGTATATGTATAATGGTACTGCGTACAAAACTTTTGATTCTGCTTTCTTATTGGACAATATGGCTACCATTTCTCGCCTTTGATTGGTCAAAATATAGATATTGACCGATCTCTCTTAATTTTGCTGTGCAGTTATATGGCATACCAAACACGACTGCATGCTCTATCATTTCATGGTCTCTAATTCTATAAAATATTTTATGCAGGCGTATATAAGCGTCATTTGCAGATTACGGGTGATGTTGTAGACTGTTTTAAATATCCACATAACAATCAGTATTTTTTCCTTATTTTTTAGTTATGTTGTTGAATATGCTCTTTTATATCGGGTGCTAGAAATCTTCATCATTAATTTAAGGTAAATGTAACTATAGTAATTCAATGAAGATATGTAATGACATTCGCGCTTGCCTTAATTGCACATCGATATTGCTTTTAATGAAAATATATCATCAAATATATGTTTATCAGTCTCCAAACTTTGGACCTCGTCATTCTTTCCAATGGTAACACATATGTAGGAATACATCAGGAAGTATTCAACTGTAAGCAGAAACATTGTTTTTATTATTATTGAAGACACTCTATTGAAGGTTATATCTTAAAGTTTTGTAATTCCTGCAAATTGCATGATTTTCTAAATTTTGTTCACCAATTACAAAATTGGAAATAACAATTAAATGTTTGTGATTATATTTCTGTCTTGAGTTTTTGTCAAAATCTTACCAATTCCACAACTATTTTTTAATATGTTACAAATATTGCAAATGAAAATCGGGTGAAATCAAATAAGATGAACGTAACTCACACATACAGATGATTGCACCCTTTCAATTTGGTAATAAATACAAAGACATGGTCGCAGTCGCACAAACATTTCAAAGATAAGTTATTAAAAAAACAAATGATGCAAACTCAACTTCTTGGCATTCCAAGAAAGAAACTATTTACTCCATTCTTTAAAATTATTGAACAAATATAAGTAATGTTTCTGTAACACAATCATGCAACTTATCGTTTCACCTCTATGACTCTGTTGTTAACCATGTTGTATGCTGTCTTTGTATTGAACACTACGATGTAGTCAAACTTGAGTACAGTTCCAGTGCTTCTTCGAACTTTGTCGGCATCTGAAGCCCCCTTTCATGCATTAGCTCACGGAAGAATCTAGCGTACTCTTCATCGCATCCCAAAGAGAACGGAACAGCACAGTATTCTTTCACATGTTGTATGTCAGTCTCATTTGCAGGAACCTTGTAGTCCAAGGTGTCTAAATGATATGAAATTCTGAAGTTACAATATCGTACTGACTGAGGAACGTTTTCGGAAGTAATTAATGTCTAATTCAAATATATTTTTCATATCATTGTTTGGCCTTCCAATGACATCTTTGTTTACAGTTTTACTTGTCTTTGTATGAATGCAGTATATCGTAAGTTATAAAAACATACGTCTTCTTAGTTCTTAATTACATCGCTGTCTTGCAACAAATTTAAGAGGGAATTCATGTTAAAACTCACCGTACAAGGTAGGCATAAAATACATTATGTCTGGTTTTCCTGTTGGTGACTCGCCTTGCTTATTTGGTCGCACACGGTGCTGGTTCCACTCCATACGTACTTTATCCAAGTCTTGCTGAAGCAGGTTCATGAATGAAAAACGGGCACACTCACTGTCAAATACAAATACAAGTACTACCATTACATTTTAGTTGCCACAAGACACCCTCAATTTTCAACTTCCGTAAACAGATTACGGCGTATAAAGTTACCAGCATCGCGAAGCCTATCGTGTCTTCCCCAGTTGTAATTTTCATGTGCAAACAATATCATTGTGGGCGGATTGGTCGAGTGGTTAACACTCCGGCCTTCCAAACAGGCGGCCGGGGTTCGATCCCTAAAGTCGACGTACGCATGGAATATTCAGAGAAAGTGTTTTTCTCCTGCCCTCACAACTCCAACAACCCAGGTGGAGTATAAAATGGTCTCGGGTGGGTGTTGTGGTATATGTGCTGAACCATTCAAATGAGGTGGCACAATAAATGACAAAACACAATACATCTCCAGCAAACACGCAGGCATACACACATAGGGAGATACTACCCAGGTGGCATAGGACTAGTAGTTAGGGCCTGATAGGGCAGCTCCTGCGAGTTCCTCAATATTGTATTGATTAATATTTATGCTAATTGTATTGATTATATGTACTGTTATGTTAGCTAGATAGGGCGCTATATCGAATGTTGTATATTATTATTATTATGAAAATTTGTACCGTTATGAACGCCTACTTTAGTGCTGTTTGACCACACAAATGTCCATCAGCCGTAGGCAACACATAAACAAACAATGAAAATAAATCTGTAAAATAAAAAAGCACGAACAACTCAGCAATAACTGGCGTTAATGACGTAACATTTATTAAGTATTCTTTCATCCCAGTCAATGAAAGACAATGCTTCACTTTTTAGAAATTATCAAATCACAATCAAAGAAATCGACATGTCGTGTACTAAACTCACATATGCCCAACATTTGACGTAGATAAAAGACCTCTCATCTCCATGTCTTTAAACTTGTCTATCCAGTACTGACCGCCACCTTGTTTGCCAGAAAGCCACCAGCGTTCAATCCGCTACAAATATTCAATTATGAATTTTTGATTATAACATATGATTTCCATAATTGCAATTCAGATAAGCCAACTTCGTTCATTTTCCATTTTTTTCCAACATAACGATGCAATCTCCAGATCCGCCATCAAGAAAAGGTCATTGAAGCAAATTTACAATTCACCATAACAAATATGGTTTAAGATACATTTCTCCTGTGTTAAGACGAGCTTTCTGAATTGGGCCACAACAATATTTTTTTCTTATATCATTTCAATTAAGGTTATGAGTTTAAAGTATGTTCTGTTGCAAATAAAAGACATCCTAATTTACTTGCCTGATTCGAATGTGAACTTCCTCTTATAACTGACTTTTCGCCTGCCATGTCGTCATCATTGTCCCATCTAAAAGCCTTTTGTATGTCCTCAACCAACACATTCTCAGTTCCGCAATCCATCCGTATGCATCTTGGCACACCTTGTAATCAACAAGCATTCATCACTAAGTTTATGGACATATAAGTAGAACTACTTTAACTGTTGGCTCTTCGTTTCTTTAGAAATAACAATGATACTTTATCACAAGGATGATTATATTTTCCAGTGAAACTTGATAACTGTCAGCGAACTCACAAAAAGAGAAAATGCAAATGTGTTATCGAACCAAGATTCGAACTCAAAATAGAATTAAATATTGCAAAGGTAAAAGGACAAGTGTACATTGACACACTCGAAAAATTAAATGGAGAATTAGACCAGGTATACCGAGAGGGTATGCGTTTTCATCCACAACACCAACCCTGTACATCTAGGTCAATTCCATATCGTATTACGTCCTCACATAAAGAACTAGAGAAGTGACAACTAAATCACAAGAGACTCAATGATAATAATCAAAACCTGCAACATGCATATCACACGAAAAAGTAACTTATTTCCCTACAATATCATGATGGTGACCATAAGACTTTGCCGTAGTCTTCAATGGAAAACCCAGTGCTGTAAGTGTGTCCGTCAACAGTCTATATATCACGGAAGTCATGATATTCGTTGCAAACTCTCGACTACATAATCGAACGCCACATGTCAACACATTAGGAAGGATAAATGGGATGTCACCATCAAGAAAGATCAAGCTCACGATCGGAAAATCGTTACGATATTCAACCATTTCCATCTTATTGAGTTATTTATTGGTGATCGTTAATATTAATTTTTTGATAAACTATCTATTTCCGTTATGAAAATCCTCTTAATATCTACTTTATTTCTGTTAAATTTCGCCGAAGTCCAATTACTGGTTAAGGCCTGCTCAGACTTACAATAACCATGGCAGTCGGACAGACAAAAATGTATTCCTACATACCAACGAAACATTCCAGACAGTGGGTATAATTTCCGAATCGCAGCTGTTCTTACAGCGTTTTTACAAAGGAAAATAAATATTTAAATGACCAGCTGGGTGAACGGAATTGAAAGTGTATCTGTGGAATGTGAAGTTTTCTAAGAAACCAGATGACTTCTTGTATCGACCGACTATGACAACTTGACTAAAAGCAGCTTTTAAAATGTCGCCGATGGGACTTGCCGAAGAACCGGAGCGATTTGACATGATTCGCCACTTGCAACGGACGCTATTGTAGAGAAAATGACCTGTTATAGAATCGAATAGCAGACACACTTCGATGGCCCAACATCAACATGATGTGAATTTGATTAAAAACAAGTCATACATCGCCATTATTGCCGTGACACGGAGACAGTGAGCTGTGGGTTTTTTCAGCAAATCACATTTTATTAAACAGTGTTATTTCTTCTTGATCAGTTCATCGTTGTTAACACAGATTTAAAATTTCTTTTTTGAAATTTTAAATGGTTCTGCATAAAACTTCGGTGTTTGTTTTGGTGGGAAGAGGGAGGGGGTTGACGGTTGACTGTTGTGTTTACCATGTGAGGTCAGATATCATATAACTGTACATGTAGTACTGTTAATATTATTATACACTTGCTTTTACTAATAGCAACATTTTGAGTTGATACAGCTATCTAACCGGACTGCAACACAAATGTAAATATCACAACATGTCTTTGTATGAATTAAACATTTTGCATCACGATAAATTAAGAAGTCAGCTTCCGGAACAAAGACAAAATTAGAAACTTTTTTTTCTTTTTCTTCAATACACATTTCTTAAAGCACTTATGATTGGGAACATGTGCTGTAGGGCCTTGATAGACTGCAATAGGCTCGTGTCAGGAACAACCAATACAAACGCATTCAACTAACTAGTAAATTATCATCAAGAGAAATAATAACAGGACAATTCATGTCTTACTTTTCCTAAAATAACAACTATATTCTCCGGGCTATAGACTACTAGGATTTTTCGTTCCTATTTGCTAAATTTAGTTAAATATTTATAGGGATACAACGCAATTACCTTTTATCTCGTCAACATATTGCATGAAGTAGTATCCAATAATGTGGGGATTGTTGTTTGTCCGTCCCACATTCAGCCATAATACACGTCTGGAAAATCTAGAATAACGCATTTTACTTATTACAAGTTACCTGTTTGATTCACATGCACTTCCCGGAACGCTATACCTGTGGAATTCCTTTGGTTTATGCATTAACCTTACATTCAAAGATGAAATATGTCTACATTATACAATTATGGACTTCAGGTGAGATCTATCCCTGATTAACGAACCTGGTCTTAACAATATTCACAGAGGCCGAAGGCCGAGGTGAATATTGTTCAGACCAGGTCCGAAAATCAGGGATAGACCGAAAGTGAAGTCCACAATTGTTTTATTATATAACATTTTACAATAACATTAATAATTTTTCATGGCATAAGCACATGGATGGCATGAACCATTTTGGAATCACAAAGTGAAAGACTTCAAATACAAAATAACATACACAAAAATTGAATTTCATATTCAATTCATGTGATATTTAATTTCAAGTAAATATTATTTGAACAATTAACATCATCAATATTAACAAAGTTCAGAAGTTGATGAGATAATTCATTTGTATTTGAATTCAGTACTGTGAATGGTAACAGATTTACAGACTGGCTGGGAAATTACCTCGGCATAATTTTAGTAGCGGTCTGTAACACTTTTCTATTTCTAGGTCGAGGTCTGTAACACTTTTCTATTTATAGAACGAGGTCTGTAACATATTTACAGACTCGTCACGTGACGTCACTCCTCCAATCAGGGCTGGGAATTAGCACCAGTCATATAATAAAAGTTTTCATTTGACAGTTGCACAGTTTATATTCACTGAATAAGGTTTTCGGTATAAAGATTGTACCGGATGTTTCAAAAACCATGTACCTACTACGCAAATAGGTAACTTTTTTACTTATGATATACAACACAATACAGTATGTCTAATATTGAATAGTGAGAATATACTCAATAACACTCAAAAACACTCAAAAACATGTTTAAACTCCCAGAAGAGGGGACCATCCAAGTAATATGTAGGACCTTTCATATACCTAAACAGGAGATGGGGCTACATCTCCTCCAAACAAGTAACCTATATCATACAGTATGCATAGCCTATACATATATATTTATCATATGAATACTTTGTTATGTAGTGTCATAAAGCCATCACATAAATTTTGTTTATGTAACGTGTGTAATATCACCCCGGAAATGACATCATACAGTTTACTTTGTATTTTATGATACAAATAATCTGTCATTCGTTTCCATTTATATTAGATGCATGATACACGTTTTGAATTGTTTATGTTTGCTCGACAGAGGTTCGCAAACATGAAAAATCCAAAACATGTATCACAAATCTAATATGAAGGTAAACTTATGACAGGTTATTATATATATTAATAAAAAAATTACAAGAGTTTCCTAGTACCTCCCTACCGCTTTCACCTCTTTGAAGGTTCATGTATAGCCGAAACGCTACATGTCAAGCAACAAATACGGTTTCCAATTTACTTACATCGTTGTAAAGGTAAACATTTCAAATCCTTGAGTCTGTCCCATCTTTGCAAAGGGAGCACTACGTTATGAAACGTTCCGACACATTTGATACGTACATTATCAGCGTTTATGTCAAACGTCCAAAACAAATATTATATCATCCATTATCTTATGCAATTTATCCAAGCATATTGTTTTCTGACAGTCCACGTTTGACTTCCAATACGTTATATCTATTATGGAACCATTATTCCCATTCTGTTCAGGTTTATACACTAATCAAAATAGTTTCATTCTATCTGAAAGGCTTAGTATTGAAACTTATTTTAAAGAAGCATTAGCACTATTGTTATTATAAAAACTATAGTCATATTAAACCTGCACGTTAAAAATGCGACTAACACGTATGTAAAAGCTGTGGATTAATAAGGTTGCATTACAAGCATTAAATGTAGGAAATTCCCCTTTAGCTGAGCGGTAGAACACCGAGCTGGAGAGCCAAGGGTCGCAGGTTCGAGCCCCAGCGACGGCACTATCTTTATCACTATTCTTATCATATTACAAATTGGTACCGTTGAACCTCCCCGATCAAGGTAGAACCCTTTGCGGGGAGTCAAAGAACTTGGGTTGGTGTTTGAAAAAAGGGGGGAATAATGTAAAAGATGTGGATTAATTAGGTTGCCTTACAAGCGTTAACTGTAGGGAATTTCCGTTTAGATTAGCGGTAGATCATCGGGCTGGAAAGCCTAGGGTCGCGGGTTCGAGCCCCAGCGACGGCACTATCTTTATTACTATTCCTCTTTTATTTCACGTAACCTTAACACATTTACACATATTGATCACAGAAATCTCAAGCAACATTGAATGAATCAATCCAAAATTTTCTGTTTTATGTTATACTTTACTTTTACCAATCTTCAATAACAATTTCATTTTATAATACTTACCCACAAATTGCACCGTGTATTGCAAATCCGAACCTTTTTATTTTGTCATAGCCATCCATATGCAATAGAAAATTTGGCCCTTTATTGATGTAAGTTCGGCGGCTAAAGCGATGCTTTCTTCTGTTGGCAACTCCAAGAGGGTCAAGTTCCCTCAATATCTTGGAAATTCTTTCCCTGGATTTTATATTCAGAGTCACATTAATATAACATTTCATGCATGTCTTACCTTATGATTTTATATATATTACATTTCAGTGACCGAAAGTGTAGTGCCTTAGCATACTGATTAACATAATCATGACACCAATATACATTTAGTTCCCACTCCCATTGAGGGTTAAAAAGAGTTCTTCTAGGCCCAAGAAGCACTATCTCGCATACTTGGAAATCCCTTTATTCTGAGTATTAACAAGTAAAACCTGAAGACTTTTTATATGAATAATGTTAAATGTTGTACTTCCCTAAGTAGTTCTTGATTTACATAAAACCTTCCAGATTTTTCAATGTGTATACCATAAGACATATATTTTTTCAGACTAAATTTTCAAGATGATTTCTTTATTCTTTCCTTTTTTATGATTGATACGGACGATCCATATTAATAAAATAAAAATTATGATCGAAAACAAATCTTGAACATTTTAGTGTGTGGTAGCATACAAACATAAAGGAAGGAATGCTAGCCACTGGACTCCCAGTTCAAGTAAACTAAAAAAAAGGTACTGAAATAACCTTTACCGCCGTGTCAATATCCTGTTTGTTAAAATGATAACTTAGTCAACATCGATTGATGAAAAGAACCTAATTTTTGTTTGGTTCATTTAAAAGATTCCAAGGGAGAGGTTTCTGGAAATACTTTTGTGTCACATGGAGCTCCAAACATAATGTATGTAATGCGTCCTAACACTGCTCTATATCGGATGTATATACAGTACATATATTGACAAGAGTCCCTCTTCTATTCCTTCACTCCATAT